TTGATTGGTTAATTATCACGGGAAATCACGGGTAGATCTACAAAAATTAACCAATCAAACGAAAGTCTTCCTATGACCTGTACCAGGAGGGACCGTCCAAATAAGGAAATGATTATCTGAGTCACCCGATAGTTAAACAATTGGTAAACAATTTTTTTTTTATACGTTTTACAATACTTTTTTTTAAAAAGCCCGGGTAGCTTAACTTCGACAAAACGCGAATAAATATTACGGATGAACTAACGTTTTTACTTTGCTTTATAACATATCCGTTTAATCCATTTTAATCCAACAACTTTTTTTTTGCAATCTGATTGGCTGGTGTGCAGGTGACTTGCAAAATTCACAATATGGTTGGTTGATATTTGTGTGTAACCATATCGGAATCTATTTCCATATTTGGACGGTCCCTCCTGGACTATGCTTATCAAAACAATAATTTAATATATATCTGCAGCAAACTCAGGTGTAAAATTTTTGTGTAACAAAAACAAAATTGATGATATTTAATAGGCCAATCAAATTTTTGATCCAAACAGATAAAAAAAAAATATAAAAGTCAAGCATACATTCATTAAAAAAAAAAAACTCTATCCGCTTCCTCATCTTAGATATGTCAAGAGAAACACGTATGATATTTTACATTTTTTCATATATTTGTTATGAACCTCGTTTAGTTCGTGTTGTTCCAAAAGTTTCTTTGGTGGAAGTTCGTATCGTATCGTGTCAAACGTCACAGCCACAGAACTTTCGTTCGTGTCTTGACGTTCGTACCATTTGGTTCGTTCGTGCTCGTTGAGTCCAATATATTCCAGGCGTCATGAAATTCTTTGGTGGAGGTCAACTGGTTCTGGATGAGGATTCTGTTACGTCTTCCTTCGTAAAACAGCCATGGAACTTTCGTGTCGTATCGTTTTTCGTTCGTACCTTGCGGTTCGTTCGGTTCGTTGAGTCCAATACATTCATTATACATAGCAACCGCATAAAATGTCCGCGGACACGTGATTTTAAAACAATCACGACACAGGATCAGGTGTAACGTGAAAACAAAACAAACTGCTGGCTTTTTTTAAAAAACTGTCCATAACTCAAAATTTCAACTACAAAACTACTTCCTGCGTCTTAGCAAAAAAAATTCCTTGCAAAATTTTGCTATATGCCCCGCCTTTTCTACTACTATCTTAGTGCTCACCCTTATCCTAACGTCAAAAGTTAATTCTTTGATCGAAAAACGTGTTGACGATCTGCGGTTTGTTTATATCATCACGAGACCGCAAATTTTTATGCGGTTGCTATGTATAATAATACATTCCAGGCGTCATGAAATTCTTTGGTGAAGGTCAACTGGTTCTGGATGAGGAATCTGTTACGTCTTCCTTCGTAAAACAGCCATGGAACTTTCGTGTCGTATCGTCTTTTCGTTCGTACCTTGCGGTTCGTTCGTGTCGTTGAGTCCAATACATTCCAGACGTCATGAAATGTTCTGGATGATGAATCTGTTATGTCTTCCTTCGTAAAACAGTCATAGAAACTTTCGTGTCGTATCGTGTCTTATGTCGTTAGTTTACTTCTTCCTTTGTAACAGCCAAAGAAACTCTACGAACAACACTAGAGCGTAGGATCGATTTGTTTGTTCACATAAACATTATTAATATTTTTTTTGTTCGTATACTACTGTTTTTCAAATATTATGTGAACACAAATTCGATTCTATGCTCTATTAATTTTCTATATACACAACTTAATGCACATTCCTAAGTCGTACTAATATTCTTTTGGATTTACGCTCATCTTAGAAAATAACCGGCGAAATATTTGCTGTCCAAGAGAACGTTCAGTTTTTGTTGCAGGAGTAGCCGGCGTTTTGGCAAATGTACCCGGATCTAAATAAGAATGTTGGTTAATCCATATATTAACGGCAAAAGGTTTCACGTTTTGAAAAAATATTATAAAATTTTTTATTCATTTATTTATTTATTTATTTATTTTGTAATAGAAATGTTGTAATACTATCATTAATAAACTTTTAGTTTGGTCACATACACTTCGAAACGAACGACGAAGCCGAAACTTTTTATGAAACATATAAAGACAATGGGCTTAAAACTAAAGATATCAACCTTCAAGAGTTTGAACTATGTTTTAGACAATCTACAGTATACCACGATGGTGAAAATCCGAAAACGCTCGTACAGGAAATGAGGAAAGATTTATAAAAGAAAAACGCCGGTATCATGAAGATGAATCAATTGAAAGCTCGAATTCCGGTACCACATTAAAACGTAGTGATACAGAAAATTTAATCGAATTTCTAAAAAATGATAACGAATTTAGAGAGTTAAAAATCAGTGATGATGGTTTTTCTCATCTTCATGATGAAGAGATCACGGGTCAGTCGTTCATAAAATTAAAAAAAAAAGGACCTTCAACATTGCGGATTAAAGATTGGGCCCTCGATAGAGGTCAAAGATTACATTAGGAAGTTGGGTCAGTATATACCTCATCAATTATAATATTCAATTATAATATTAGAAACGTCAATAATTTTATTAATATCTTTTTAACATAGAAATACAAAACGGTGTGTTAAAGAAGCGAAGAATTAATGATAATTCATAAAGAGCATCCATCGTTTGTTAATTTTAAGCCCAGTTGAGGTGTTTATATTCTTAGTAACATTAAAGTTATGTTAAAGCTCAAATTTAATATAATTTTTATGTACATATTTTCTTAATTGAATATTAATAAACAATGTATATAAACTTGCTGATACTTTTTATTGGTTTCGAATTTGAAAAAAAAACATATTTGAAACCTTGATTTCGCCTAAGCATAAGGCCGTTCAAACTAGTTAATTGTTTAATGGCACAGAAATTCGGGATAAGTTTTTCGAAAAATTTTTATAGGATAGACAGTAAAATTAGCAAAAACTTTTAGTGCGGTGTAATAGGAAGAAACTGCCGTCTTATAGTCTAGGGTCAGCAAAATTCTCTCCTTAAATGTCACTACTTCAATAATTTTTTCATTACTTTTGTTTTCTTTGCCGCCAGTCTAAATATGTTCATATATTAGATAAAGAATGTTTTTGGTTAATTTGATGATGTAAATTATAAAATTGCAAAATTAATACATTTTTTTAGCTTATAAAAAATTAATCTAATCTATTTTTGACAAGTTTTTGAAAAATATTTTGCGTTACACGAAGCGGGATAGCATCAAACACGTTAGGGACTTTTCAACACGAACATGATTTCCTTCGTAATAGTCTTTCAAAAATAATGACCAGAACAGGTGACTTAGTAAATTCTATAAAAACACACTTTTCATAATTAACAGCACTAGCACAAAAGTAAAAAATATCAGGCTTATTTACGTCATCTTTACTGTATTAAGATCTATGTATTTACATGTCGATTGAGAACCTTTTGAGCTCTAAGTAAAAGATTTTTACGAATCTATTGTTTTCTTTTCATAGAATATAAATACTGATGATAAGAGAGCCGTCACACGAAAAAATCTATCTGTTTCACAACTAGTATGAGTAATCAATTTGAGATCTTTTTTCATCTTGGATGAATATTTGATCCCGTGCTTTTTTTTCTAATCTATATTAAAAATATAACGAAGGGTTTCTTTTGATGTATGGAAAGCAATGAGAAGATGGATTCAATAGCATATGAACAAGCTTATGGATGGGCAAAGTAATTTTGCAGTAATTGCTATAAAAAAAAATGTAAAGAATTTTATTTTAAGACATTCCGGTTTCACTCATTTGAATTTACATAATTTTGCATCTTGATGTCGTTCGGCATTTAAACCATAAAAACTTGGTTTCGCAATGTGCTTAAAACTATTTGTTTACGATCATTATTTTTCACTAATAAAACAAAATGCAATTAAAAAAAGCTCTTGTCTCACATAAAAAAAAACGAATAAATCAATAAATAAAAAAAAGCAGTTATTTTTGATTTTTGTGGTCGTTATAGCATCGCAGTCGCAATTACCTGAAAACAAAAAGAACTTCTTTTGGCAAATGTCATAAGTTCTTGGTTTGGGTCAATCCTAAAGTAAAAATTCCTTAGAAAGTAAATAATTATTAATGTATACTGTATATCAAAAATATTGGAACATTTAATAGCAATTTCTAAATAAACTAGGAGCTGGAAACCAGTGCAAGTCTAAGCAAAATTGACCGAAACTATTGCTAACGTCACCCTAATGTGGGCGAACTTATTAGGATTTTGACCGACACCCAAATTCCTCACTCACTATTGAAATGTAAATCCATCCATTTGTGAAATCATGAAACTGTCCACCGCTAAATTATAAGCTCGTTTACTTTTAAAATCATGACCCACATTACTGTTAAACTCAATTCTATTAAAATAATCAACTCTTGAAGTTTCCTATGGTCACTTAAAAATAAATATTATGTAACTTAAGTATTGATTGAAATATATATATATTACTAATTACACTGATATCAGTAACATGTATAGTAATAATAGCACTAATCGGGAATCCGTTGGTCAAAAGACACTTGAAACTTATTGATCCAAATGTTTAGTTGAAATCAAAAACCTACCCACCGTTTAAATTATTAATCTACCAATCACTAAGATCATTCACTGTCAAAATTACTACCAGTCTACCTACTATTAAACTCACGAACCCACCTATTGAACGATTACAAAATCACGAACCTACTAACCTAAATTATATTATGTTCACCTGTTCATCAGAACCAGAACTATTCCAATTCAACGACCTTAATCTTCTTACTATATTTAAAATCTACAAAATAGCAGCATTAGTAAAGATTTAAATAAACTGTAAATACGACAAAAATTAATTTTCATTGAACTATCAATTGTAGTAACAAAATGAATAATCTTCTTGAACATTGATCGGTTAATAATCATCATACTCACCAAATTAAAAGATTAAAAACCTAAATACCTTATTTTAAGTACGATCTTTATGTCCTAAGTTAGTGCAAGATGAATTAAGCATTTTAGAGATGTAACATAAATGAAACGGAATATAAACGTCTATCATTATTTTGAGTACCCTGATTATAAATAAACAACCAATCAATGTGCTAATTAAATATGATTTGCCTATTATATAAAAAGGTCTGTTTTCACGTGGAACGATAGAGATTACATTATGGAAAAGAGAAGCACCCATGCCCATGCCACACAACCCATGGAACGATATTATCTGCAATATCGAATCCGAAAGGAGATTGAGAATCATAAACGCAGGACTAATGCAAGTATCAAATGCTTAAAGAATACTAAAAAAAACATGGACATTTATTTAAACACCTAAGCAAGAACACAGATCCTCAGTATTAAACCCGAAATATAGCGAAAAATTCTTGATCCGCCCAATGTGAATAACCACATATTCTACCATTTCTCTACTCACTTATTTCTACGAATAGCTAGTTTACTTTGGCAAACCCTACAACACAGTAAATGTTGCAAACTATTCAGGATATCATCACGTTCTGGCCAATCTTGGCCAATGATTCCTATAATGTACTGATATCATTTAATTTCTTTAATAAATTCACCAACATAAAATTTCCTACCAAATAATATGTAAATATATAATGTTTTTCATAATTTTAATATCAAATCACATCCCAAAATTAGATTCTATTCTACATGAATGGAAATTTTCCTATGGAATATTTCTAATCGTGATATATTTATTAACATACGTATATTCTGATTACTATAATGATAAGTTTGCGCGGTGGTATTTTCACAGGCACGATAAAGAAGTTTTACGGTTATGCGTAGTTATGCAGAATCAACTAATCAAAACCCATTTGCATATGATCTAAAGGAAAAAAGTATATCATGTGATTGGATGGACAGAACACTCGAATTACGTTTTTGATATTTGAATATAGAATACATCAAAAACGTAACTCCTATATCAAATTGCATTGAATTTAAAAGTCCTCCGCTTCGCTTCGGACAATAACTGTTTTTAATCTTTTGCATGCTGTCAGATTATTATTTAATGCAATAATGTGAAAAATGAAATATTAACGGAATCTGACACTCCCATCCTTCAAGTAATTTTTCAGCATTTAATAGTTTAAAAAGTTCATTAGAAATCTCGCCAAGAAAAATTTTGTCACTTCTAATATCAAGTATTGAATAATAAATGAAATGCATCAATGAAATGCATCAAAAGATTGTCCTTTAATTCCTCCAATATTTGGTCAATTTTCGTTGAATAAATCGGTTCAGAAATATTTAATGTACAGTACACTATATAAAGGTCATACAAATAAATTACATAAATTATTAACTGAAATAATTACCATAAACTAGTAATAGATCTATTATATATTCTCCTAAGCGCGATTGAACCTATTTAGAGGAAGCGCAAATCGAATAACTTGATTTAAATTGACCTCTTTAATTTTTCTCATATCTAATCATCTAATAATTTGGCAAGGCGTAAAATCGATCTTACTATCACATGATACTTGGAAAACAAACGTTGTTGGGCTAAAAAACTTCCTTTATATTTAGGTTAAAGTTTAGGCTAAAGGCAAAATTGTGTAGAGAATTTTTTTGGTTTAATTTTTTTACGTTATACCTGATCTTGATTTTTAATTGGCAGATAGATATCGGAGGATCGATGGCATTGTTATTATCTAATTGCCTAAAATTTGTTTCCAAGTGCCATAATTTCCTCAACTATAGCCTGTTTTTGTAGCAAACCATCTATTTGTTTGGTTAAGAAAATATTTGTCTTCTGAAATTTATAAATTTAGAATTATTAAATATAAGATGGTTAGCACTAGATGATCCAGAGACCTTAGAGCGTCAAAGTATTTTTCTTTTTTGGCTTTGATCGAAATAGAATTTATGAAAAATTCTGAAATTTTCGATTTTTGTGTTTAACACAGCATGATCCATTTTTGCAACTTACTGGTTACTACAAATTCATCAGAGAAATTATATTATAATTACATGCTTGAGGTTCATTTTAAACTTGGAATAATAAAACAAAAGAGAAATTTCTTATAGAATTGCTTTTAGTTTTAATTGAATTAGATGATATATGACAAAAGACATGTTTTCATAGACTAATCTTTATTTTCAAATCTTAAAAAAATTTTTAATAGAATTCAAATCGTAATCTTTATTACCATTTCTCGCATTCTGATTAATAAGATCTGAATTAAACTCAATTACTAGTTTCTTCACTATTTCCGTTAGAGAAAAAAAATTTTGTCAAATAATATAGATGATAAAATATGAAATAAAAGATTCAAAAAAGAGAAAAAATCTGTTAAAATATATAGTAATTGGTAAATTAGTGATATCAAATAAGCTATTATTTCTTGATTTAATATATGATAATTTTTTTGGTTCTAATATTTACATGCAAGCACATGAATTATTAAAATTAATAAATAAAAATCATTTAAAGCATAGTATAGTTTATGAATATACATACTTGTATCAAATTAGTGGTCAATTTGATATAGGAGTTACGTTTTTGATGTATTCTA